CACATATATATATATGTATAGATATGAAACGCCAGTCACATACAAATGTACAACTGATATGTTTAGAACACCACCCAACATGAAGCCAGTGCATTATCTGTGCCAATCGACATCCCGATGTCTCCAAGGAAGTGCGCTATACACCCATGTGCCGTTCACGTATGACGCAATATGACAAAGCTAGACGAGAGGTTACGTCTGTTCCATAAGCTTACACCTGGATTATTACAATATGTCACCCATATGGCCCTGTTGAGTCTCTCGAGGTTTTCCGAGCGGGCTCCGAGACAGCCCAAGAGCGTTCCAAGACGCCCCGCGACTGGCGTCAAGACGGCCCAAGAGAAGTCCAGTACGCCCCAAGGGCTCCAGGTGGATCCTCCTGAGGTCCCTCAAGAGGCAAACGTCACTGTTTTTCTTTTCGCTGCTGGAAGTTCTAAGCGTTCTGACTTTATTCGAGTGTTCTTCTCTCCACGTTCTCTCCCCTCCCCTCCCAGGCCATCCCTCTAGCATCGCCGCTTAACCAATCACATATTTATCTCCCCATTTCCTCACCCCCCTCCTCTGTCTCCGTGGCCCTTTTGGCTCAAGTAGTCATCCGTGGGCACGCTTCTAGCACTTGCGGGCAATATTGGCTTTGGTAACCCGATTGCGCGTGCAGTTGCGCATCCCGCAACATTTTGTGGGCGTGCGCCGTCGGCATCTTTCAGCGCTGTGCGTAAGTGTGGCCTCGCCGCGGGGCGTGGCAGGCCGCTGCGTGTCCGAAGCCTTAGGCGACAAAGGCATGCAGATGTGCTCAATGCACTCGACCTCGGTCACAGATAGGAAACGTCCAGGATTTTTTTAACCGTTTTTTTGTTGAAGAGCGCGCAAGGCTCCCTCACTAGGCCCCAGGGTGGGCAAACCAACCCTGACTAGAGCCCAGGGTCGGTAAACCAAGGAACACTAGATTTCCACTAGACCACCACTAGACCACCACTAGAATCACTAGGACAGGGGTCGCGCTTTCAGGAATCCCACAGAACCAATGTCCTACCAACGACTACGACTACGACTACGACTACGACTACGACTACGACTACGACTACGACTACGACTACTACTACTACTACTACTACTACTACTACTACTACTACTACTACTACTACTACTACTACTACTACTACTACTACTACTACTACTACTACTACTACTACTACTACTACTACTACTACTACTACTACTACTACTACTACTACTACTACTACTACTACTACTACTACTACTACTACTACTACTACTACTACTACTACTACTACTATGTGGGGCGTTCCGAAAAAAGGGCCTTGCCTTCGAGGATCGAAGGATGTCATCTCTTCCTCGGCGAAAGAGCGGCGGAAGGTCGGCGGAAGTAAAACGAGGCCGCCTCTGCCAGCGGAAGCCGGCGGAAGCTCGGCGGAAAGCGGCGGAAGAGAAAGATGTGCCCCCAACAGATGGAAGCAGTTTGGGTCTCAGGGTTTCCGAAATTGCCCATGTGTGCGTTGCCCACGCAAGGGCGACGAGCGATTGGTGGCCGGCGCTTTCGGCCATACCCGCTCGGGGAACGATTCATTACAAGATGTTGTGGTATACGCTCGGGTCGGACGTGCGTCTCCAACAGAAACACAAATTATCAGTACGTCTTCCTGCGTCCCAATCAGAGGCAGGGGGCAAGTCTTCGGCAACCAGCTGACTAATGCAGCGGATGTTCTATCGTGGGCCTACCCAGCGAGACATATAAATGCTGGCCGCTGCGAAGGCACATAGACAAATAAGGAGAGAGTTGAAGGAGGAGGAGGAGGACGAGGGACATGAAAGGGGAGAGGGAGGTGGAGGAGGTGGGTGGTACGTGGGCGGAGGAGGAGTAGGGGGAGGGGACAGAGGCAGGGGAATGGGAGGACGAGGGGGATGGGGAGGAAGGATGAGCAGGAGGAGTAGAAGGAGGATGTGTGGGGGTGGGCGGGGGGACGGTGGTGCAACCACGATGATAACGGGAGCGGGGCGGAGTAAAGCAGGACGAGAGGTGAAGGGGGGAGGGAAGCAGAGCGGGAAAGAAGAAGAGGTGGGGGAGAAGGACGGGGGAAGAGGAATACGAGGTGGGTGATGGTGATGTGAAGCGGGAGCGGGGGAGGAAGAAGAGGAGGTGGAGGAAGGAAGGGGGAGGAGGATGGAGAGAGAGAGAGAGAGAGAGTGAGAGAAAGAGAGAGAGAGAGAGACAACAAAAAGAGCGGGAAACGGATGGGCGGCATTCCGCCTTTGCTTGCCCAGCCACCTGTTGCAAAAATGTGTGCTGCCAGCGTGCCGCCTGCAAAACACGAGGGGCTGTGGCTCCGTGCCTCTGTGCTGCGCCCCCCCCCCTCTCCGCGCGCCGCCCGTCTGCCCCCGGAGGCTCCAGCCTGCACCGCCCTGGCGCTCTCAGCAGGGAGGTCCCACCGTCGGCCTTTGAACAGCCATCGGTCGTTGAAAGTAGGTATGCTGGGGACTTCCAGGTGCCAGTCTACTTTCGGCGCCTGCCTAATTACTTGAATGATCGAGTGGCTTCACCTTCCCCGTTCTCTTTGTGGGGTGGGCGGGGACCCAATCTGTGTTCAACGCCTTCTTGCTTCATGTTTCTACCTACTTCTTCCGACCGATGGGTCGTAGGTCCACCCTGCCAAGTCAAGGGTACCCTTGTGTCCTGTGCTTCGAGGCCCACGCCTTCCACGCTCCTAGGGCAACGTGGCCCTCGGAAGGGTCTCGTGTCCTCTCGCGGGTCCTGTCTAATCAAGTCCAATTGTCAATGGTTCGGGTTGGACGAAAGGGTCGGATAGGGAAAGGCTGGTGTACGAAGTCTGCGACATGCAGCCGGTTTCGGCCCCGCCGCCGAGCCAATTCCTTGATACATGGGCGCCTCCCGGTGCCGGGAAGACCAGCTACGTGAGATGATTCTCTACCCTACCCTTTGTTATCCTAGCCTTTCGTTCCCCCCCGGTAGATGGTTCTCGCTGCAGGCTCATGCGAGCGACGGAAGAACACGGGGTCGATTGCGCTGACATTCGCGCGTCAGCTTCCCGTGTGAGGTCGCGCGTGAGCGCCCTCGTTTTCAGCGTGGCGTGCCGCGCTGGCGGCCCGCGTAAGACACCGCGTGAGGTCGCTATGCCGTCTCGCGTAAGGCCCCTCTCTTGCCGTCGCCCAGGCCAAATATGTGTGCCAATAATTCGGGGACGCTCCGTGCGCCCGTGCGCCAGGGAGGGAGGCACAGCGCGCATCCGAGCAGTCCGCGCGGACCTCCGAAAGTTTATGTTTATGTAGTTTTTGTCCCAACCATCCTGTGTTCAGTTGGGTCCTCGTTCTGAATCAGCAGCTCTGGGCCGCCTCCTTCCTTCCGTCCTCGCCCTCCTTCTCCCATCCCTCCCTCCTCTCTCCCACCACCCCACTTTGGGGCATCCCTCATACGTTTCGTGGCCCCATAGGGATCTTCACCTAAGGCCCCAGTGGTTGCGTTCGCAAGCCGCCGCCATCCCACATGTGCGTGCCACTCACACGTTTCGTGGCCCCATAGGGAGCTCCACAGCCCCAGAGGTTGCGCCCGCATGCCGCCGCCACCCCACTTTGCGGCATCCCTCATACGTTTCGTGGCCCCACAGGGATCTCCACCTAAGGCCCCAGTGGCTGCGTGCGCATGCCTTCTCCAGACCATATCGGCACACCCCTCACACGCTTCGTGGCCCCATAGGAAGCTCCACCGAAGCCCCCAGTGGCAAGAATCGCATGCGTGACCGTGCCCATGTTGGCACACCCCTCACATGCTTCGTGGCCCCAGAGGGGGCTCCGCCGAAGGCCCCAATGACTGGAACCGCATGCGTTACCGCTCCTATTTTGGCACACCCCTCGCACGTTTCGCGGTCCCTTGGGGAGTTCCACCGGATGCCCCATCGACAGGAATCGTATGCGTGACCGCGCCCATTTTGACTCATTCCTCGTACGTTTTGTGGCCTTAGAAGAGCTTTGCCAAAAGGCCCCGCCGCCTGCTGCTTCCCAGACCGCGCCCGGCTGCTCCCCAGGGCTGGGCCGACAGACGCTCAGATCAGCGGTGACGGGTTACATCCCTATATCACCCGTTGCGGTTGACCCCTGCGACCCCATCAGCAGCGTCGTTCCGTTCTTTTCACGCACGCCTTAGTCCTTCTGCTAGCCCCTCCCTCAGTTCCCACTGGTCTTGCGGTTCTCGCAGCTGCACATGATTGGGTCCTTCGCCAGGCGAATGTTTTACTCTAGAGCTGGGGTACCGTTCAGGCCCGCTTGTCTGCTGTCGTGTCTGTCCTGGGGTTGCGGTTCCACTTACGACGTTTGTCACGATTTCGGATCTTGCAGCCCCCATTATGGAGATAAGCGCTCAACTTGTTGAAAGGACGCACGCGGTGGCTTGTGTCTTCCACTAAGAAGCTTTCGTGGACGTCGGGGGCGTCGAAGCTCTCAAACATGCTCCTTCTGGACGACACGCGGCTCCCAATGTTTCGACTTGCGACTCGGAGGGTGCCCTCCCCAAATCAGTTGGCCACACAGAACGTCCGTAAGGGATGACGTATGTCGTCTCCGTACAGCCTCTTTTCGTTTCTGTTGGGGTAGGCGGGGGGAGGGCGGCACATTCCATGTTCCAGAGCTGGTAGCTCAGGGCGATGTGCTACATTAGAGGGCAGTCCTCATGTGGGCCAGGCACGTCCAATCCTCCAGATTTTCCTTTGAGCACATGCGAGTTATGAGAGTACCGTAGAGTGCACATCTCGCTAGGCAGAAGTAAGCTGGAATTCAAAAGCGGTTCACGGTGTCGGATTCTCCCCCTCCCCCCTCGCGCGCATCTGCCCCTCCACTTCCCTATCCCGTTCGCCCTCTTCGTCCTCTTCTCCGCCAACCTCCCTCCCCGTCCACGCTCCTGCGCTCCCACTCTCCCGCTCCCCTCCCCCTCCCTTTCCCCCCCCCTCCTCTCTTTTTATTTCCTTTCTCGGAGGAGTGGGGCTCAGACCATCCAGCCTGGGTCGGGCCGCGTGCTGCCCGGCCCTGGGCGTCGAATTTACTGGCGCCTCAGCTTCTTTCTCTCCTGACACGCGGGCTCGCGAGGGCCGATGCAGCGGTGAAGCGCCGTCTCCTTTCTCCATCTTTCCTCTCGAGGTTGGAAGCCCCGCCCGTGATAGAATTCGGCATCAGTTTCGTCAGGGTGAATCGTCCTGCAGTTGGATCGCCAGGAGCTTCGAAACGGCGACGGCGCGCTTGGGTCGAGCCCTGGCGACGAGGCGCCCAAGGTGCCTATGGGGCCTTCTGGGGCTTTAAACTCGGTGGGCGTCTGGACTCGGGGATCGTCTGTAGCAGGATTGGCTGGGAACCCCAGGGGCTGTCGGCCTCGGAGAGGGCCGCGTGGGGTGCCTACGTGGCTCTCAGAACGGCTGACAGCGAGGCCGCCGACCCCTTTTCCCTCGCCCAGCGCATGCGGGCCGTGAATCAGAGCAGCGGGGCAACAGCTTCCTGGAGGACCTCCTGGAGGCCTCGTGGAGGCCTCTGAGGCCTTCTTGGGACGTCTTGAGGCCGTCTAAGGCCGTCTGGGGTGCATTTTGGGCCGTCTTGGAGGCATCTTGAAGCCATCTGAGCTGTCTTGAAGGCCACTTTGGCCGTCTTGGAGGCATCTTGGAGGCCATCTTCGGCCATGTTGGCCGTCTTGAAGGCGACTGGGCAACCACCCGGGCATTTGGGGCACCCTTCCTTGTCTTTCTGGGTGGCCGGCAGGACGGGCCGAAGTCCTAGGGGAGATTTGTTTATTATATGTGTGTGCATATATATATATAGAGAGAGAGAGAGAGAGAGAGAGAGAGAGAGAAAGAGAGAGAGGGAGAGATAGTCACACACACACACACATGCATACATAAGAAAAGAGCAAACTAAAAACGGTGGCGCCTAGCACGCTGGTTACCCCTGTGACAAGCACAGGGGGCAGCGGATTTTAGTGGCTTTCGGCACATGCCGCCACCACGCCTGGATTGTATGCCTGAGGCCTCTTGCACACGCGTTGGGGTGTCTTGGAGAGCCTCCCGGGGGCCGCTTGGAGGCGGTTTGGGCGCCTCTTGAGGGCCTCTTGTGGCCTCGTGGGGTATCTTTTGGGCATCGTGGAGGCCTCTTGGGCGCCTCTTGGAACCTCTTAGGGCCTCTGGGCGGCATCTTGGAGCCTCCTGGGGGCTTCTCGGCGAATGTTCGGTTCGTGGTCTGATTTTAGGCCCCTCTCGGGGCCGTCTTGGGGCCCCTTTGGCCGTCTTGGGCGCTTCTTGGACTATTTTGGAGCCCTCTTGGGCCGTCTGGCGTCTTGGTCTGTTTTGGGGCGGTCTTGGAAGCTTCTTGAGCCGTCGCGGAGCGTCGGAAAGCCGAAAATGCGAGGAGGCACGAATCCTTCAAACACCGGGTAACATCTACGAATTTGGCCTCTTGGGGCTTTCTCGGAGGGCCTCTTGGAGCGCTCTTGGGGCCTCTTCAGGCCCTCTTGGGCCGTCTAGGAACCAACTTCGGGCGCCTTGCACTCTTGGCCGTGGCAATGCGAGTATGGCTTAATTGGCGATGTTTTCTGGCTTCGGGGACGCGAACATGGTTTACGTTACGAAGGTTTGTTGCCTCGGGGACCCAACAATTGCGTATTGTACGAGGGTCTGTCGCTTCGACAATGCGAATATGGTGCAAATTGCAAGGGCTTACGGCCTCGGGGACGCGACTATCGCTTACTTTACGATGGTTTATGGCCTCGGGGGCGCGAATATTGTATGTTTTTGCGTGTCCCACGGCCCCCCTAGCATTCTGAGGATGTGATTCGGGCGTGGTAACCTGGCGATGTGGGGCTCCCCCCCCTCGCGCGGACAGTAATCACTGACAGTAGGAAGCAGAAAGTGAAGCTATCACAATGGGAACTAAAGCCTGCAACTGGAGCAGGGTGCAGCAAGCCTGAGCCTCGCAGCCTGATGGCCTTGCGAGGGGGCCGGCGGATTCTGTAGGAATGCGGATCCAAAAACCACTGCCAGCAAACATGCAGAGTCTGGTCCACGGACTCCCACTTCACCTGCGCACCCAGGGATGGTGTAAGAAAGACAGCCCTCCCCCCTCACTCTGTTATCCCCTTCCTATCCCCCTTCCTCTTCCCCTCCCCTCCTCCCCCCTCTCCCTCACTCCCCTCCCCTCCTCCCCTCCCCCCCTCCCTTCTCCCTCCCCCCCCCTCTCTCAGTCCTGTTCCCCCTCCTCCCCTCCCCTCCCTTCCTCTCCCGCGCGGCCTGTCTGCCCTGCCATGGAGGCTCACGAGCGCAGGCGGCGGCAGCGGCGGCGAGCGCCTCTGAGCTGGGAGGCGCCGGGGGCACCACGGAAACGCGTGCTGGCCGCCGCCGCAAGGGGAGGGGTGCATTTCGGAGGGCGGGACGTCGGCCTCTTCCACCTCCTCGGCCTCCTCTTCCTCGTCCTCCTCCTCCTCCTCCTCCTCCTCCTCCTCCTCCTCCTCCCTCCTCCTCCTCCTCCTCCTCCCCCTCCTCCTCCTCCTCCTCCTCCTCCTCCTCCTCCTCCTCCTCCTCCTCCTCCTCCTCCTCCTCCCGCGTGCTGGCCGCCGCCGCAAGGGGAGGGGTGCATTTCGGCGCGTCGGTTGGCACGCCTGAGCCGCAGGATGAGCATTACAGGTATGGGTTTCATGGTTCTGCCCTGCCCATCATTCAGATGACTGGCAGAGGGTTTCGGGCTTCAGATCGCTCCCCTATCCTCACCACGTCTGTTGGTAGCCGGTCAACGCAAAGGAACACGCGCCGTGAGACGTCACGAGGGGGGCTGCGCTGGAGCTCAGTGGGCTACTCCGCTTATTGACCACAGCCAGCGATTATGAACGTTTGCCACCGACTTCAGATGGCGCCTCCAGGCTCAGGCTATTTTGATGCCTTCCATCGTTCACGAGGCGGGGATCCCATATCCTGGCACGTGTGCCACAGGAAGGAAGGCTCCCTCGCACTGCGAGCCGACCAAGAGAAAGAGAGAGAGAGAGGAAGGATGCCTGTGCGGTGGGGCGCGCTTGATGGGCCGTGCGGAGGTCGTGGTCTGGATGGCTTTCTCGCCCGGCGGGCGCGGACTTCGGTCGGGCATGTTCCTCTACAGGAGGAATGTTCGAGAATGATTTCTCGTGCTCCTTCGACTCTTTTTGAATTTGTTGTGGCTACTTTTTTCGGACGTAGCCCGAATGTGATTCTCGCGAGGTAAACTGAACTGAACTGAACTGAACTGAACTGAACTGACTGGTCGCGCCCGTTACGCGACGGTTTTATTCTCGGCCGCCAAGGGCGCAACCTATGGCGCAACCGATCGGAGACGGTTTTATCTTCGGCCGCCGAGGGCATATCCTATGGCGCAACCGATAGGAGACGGTTTTATTCTCGCCCGCGCGGCGCAACCGATAGGAGACGGGTTTCATTTTCAGCCGCCGATGGCGCAGCCTATGGCGCAACCGATTGGAGACAGTTTTATTCTCGGCCGCCCAGGGCGCAACCTATGGCGCAACCGATATGAGTCGGTTTCATTTTCGGCCGCCGAGGGCGCAACCTATGGCGCAACCGATAAGAGACGGTTTTAGTCTCGGCCGCCGAGGTGCCAGGAGAAGGAGGATGAGCAGGAGGAGGAAGCGGAGAAACGAGGACGAGGTCTTAGACGAGGACGACGAGGAGGAGCTGGAGCAGGAGGAGGATCAGAAAGACGAGGAGGGTGAGGAGGAGGACGAGGAGGAGGAGGACGACGACGATCAGGACGGGGGGGAGGACGGGGAGGAATACGATGAGTACGAGGACGAAGTGTGGGCATTCGAATGCGTGCTGGGCTACGCCCGATTTATGCTCGCTGTTTGGGCTGGCGTTGGGGCCCCAGCGGGAAGCTTTCTTGTGATTATGTTTCTTCGCATATCCGCTTGTAGGATTATGATGTTCCAGCCTGCTTGAGCCTTGATCACCAGAAACAAGTTCGATCACCAAGCAGGTACGGGAGGGGGGTTTCACGTGGCGGACCTTGGGAGGCGATACTCGTTCGACATTGTTTCGGTACTTTTCTGGGTGCTCGAAATTATTTTTGGGATGTGGTCGTCAAGTACGATGGAAACAGCATAATTGTAGGAGGGCATGCCCGACCTAAGCGTGGACGCTTTCTCGTGGACGTCAAGTATTGGTTGCACCACCGGTCGGGCCTCACTGCGGCCCAGGTCGCCAAAGCACGGGCCTCGACGGAGCTCCCGAGACCTTCCCCGCAAACTGTCAGATGGGCTTTGGGAAAGTTCAAAAACGAAAGCGGCCTCGGGGTGGATTGCTGGAACCCACGTTCATGGTTCTGTTTACCTGGGGTTTATATCGATCGCCTCATCGATGTCATGATGGCTTGGGAGAGGGACCCCAGCAAGTTGCCCCTGAAGTACCCCACGGTGATGGTCTTCCAGGGTAAGCCGGGGGGTGCTGGATTACGCTCACTCGCTCTTATCATATCCCTATTCCGCGCCAAAAGTAGGGTGAGACAAGACGTGGCGCGTGCCTGGGAGATGGACCACCGCTCACCATTTTTTTGGGGTTCCAGAGACAAGGAGTGCGAAAGAGCAGGTCGGCAGCATGCGATGCTCAACGAATGCGCCCGCCTAAAGGGTTTCGAGCTATCTACGCTGTGTGCAGACCTTGAGCAGTTCTACGAGCTTGTGGCACCAGGTGCCCTGTTTGACGAAGCCGGGAAGAGCGGCTCCCACCTCGGTCTTACTTACTCTGCCATCTGTTTGTACACGGGGCCGCGAGTACTCACTTTTGCTGGTGTGTCTTTAATATGTTTACAGTCACTGGCACGATCCTCGCTGGCTGCAGCCTGGCGACGAGCTTCGAGAAGGTAGTCTTCTATAGAGTACTGCGGGCTGGCCACGGCGTTTCCCCCCTTGCCTATCCGCAACGTTGTGGATGACGTTTCTCTGCAGATGCTAGGCAGAGCCACATTTATCGTGGAGAAGTTGGGCGCAGCAGGTCGGGCACTCGAGAAGGGGTTCGACGAACCGGAGTTGAAAAGGTCTGGGACGAAAACTCATCTCATCGCCTCTAGTATGGAGATTTCCGAGGGCCTCTCCAAGGTGCGGCGGGCCCTCAAGTTCTCATGCAAGGTCACGCTAAGTTCCCTGGGGAGCGACATCGTGGCCAGGAAAGCTAGGAGGAACCCGACGGCTCTCAAGAGGCTCAAGAAGACTTGACGTCGTGCTCGTGGATTTGGTAGGCTTAATCTCGCTGGAGCCAACACTGCTGGGATACACAGGGCTGGGCCTCAGTCTTGCGCCTTATGGGTTACTGATGTGGATGGTCTTACTCGGCAGCACGCGCACGCCTTTCGCGTTTCTGCATGTAGGAGCCGCTGTAAGAGCAAAGCTGGTGCGCTGACATTTGTTCGTTTGAGATCCTACGGCGCTGGATGCAAGATGGACCCCGTGCAGCTTTTACCGCGGCAACGTCGTGCAGCAATGGGCTCGAGCTGTTTGGGATGGGTCTCTCTCGCTGGACGTGGTCCAAACAGTGTTCCGAGCGGCTGCCGACGAGATGCGTAATACTAAGACGCTATGGGCCTATGTCGCCTCTCCTGCGCACGTTTTATTTCTTACCCTCGCAGAGATAGGCTGGGCACCTGAGTCATGAGTCAACTTGGCATTTCCGCAGGGCTGACGGCGAGACTGTGGACCTCTTGGCAGCGGCGCCAATGGTGGCGCGTGACTACGCGGTGGAGGACGCAGGCATCAGGGCTGACGTAAAACGCGCCCAGACAGCGCCCCAACCTCAACAGTGCGCGGCGCAGACCCGTCCAGTGGGAGGGAGCCAGGGCCATGCTGGAGGGTGCTACGAATGCGGTTTGGCAGCAGCACCATCAGAGTCGCGCTCGTAACGCTTTTGCCCTGGGGGCCTGGACCCAACGGCGTCTCTGTGAGCGTCGCGCTTGTGAGTCCGAAGCCTGCCAGCTCTGTTAAGGGACTTCGGGCACATTGTTCCGCAGACGGTTTGAATGTCCCGCCTTCGACGCGGACGGGCGCGAGCATCTCCCGAGGCAGGTGCTCGAGGCAGCGCTGAACGCACGAGGTTGGCGACAGGATCTCGAGAAGTTTTCCGCGGCAGCCCCCGCTGATCCTAGAGGGCGGACGCCCTCGCCGCTCAAAGCCAGCCAGTGCCGCGCCCATCGGTTTAACCGCCCCACAGAGCGGCAAGTTGGGTGGATTTATCCTTAGTGACGTTTCGGCTCTCAACCCCATGCGCGCTCCAGGCTGCCGCGTGCGGGTCTGCCCCTGCGACGGTCGGTCCTTCTCGTGAGCTCCAGGCTGCCGCGCGCGGGGCTGCCCCTGTAGATTGCGCGCCCGAGCGGCAGGCTCGCGACGGCGAGGACTGCGCCAATTTGTGCTCGCTGGTTCCGCCGGGGCATACTCCCAGGTCTGGGCTGTTTGCGAGGGGGCTCTAGGGTGTGTCTGGGTCCGTTGGCCCTCGGACAGCTCCGGCAGCCCCGGGGCCCACCTGCGGCCGAGAGTTTGGCGCCAGACCCTGGGCCACGCCAGCTTCAATGATATAGTCGAAGGCCGCTCCACCCACTTAGACAGAGAGGGCAACGAGCACGCGGATCGCTTCGCGAAGCTTGGAACGGCCGTGCATCCGTCGGATGACAGTGCCAAGGCAAGATTTGAAGAACTTGTCAAGTTGCAAGAGCGTGTTTGTAGATGGAGAGGCATCCAACATGTCCTCATGGGTCAGAGAAGTTGAACTGACTCCGAGAAGCTCCCTGCCGAGTTAGGCTCTGATGGGCATGAGGGCCTCGGGGGCCCCAGCAGGAAGGCCTTCAGATGTGTCCCTGCAGCTGTTCGTTCCAGGCTGGCCAGGGAATGCGATTGTCTCGGCTGCCGCCGCACCCTGCTAAGTTCCAGAGTTCCCTTGTTCCCGGACTCAGAGCCCGTTGCCTCCTCGGAGAAGGCGCGGTCGCAGGCGCGAGTGTCAATGCTTTTGCAAGGCCACAACCTTGTCGCGATGAAGGCTCGGGGCGAGGGCTGAGCTCGGGCGGGCGGTTGTGGTTGGGCGATGTCGTGCCTGAAGTGCGGGGGCCGCGCGTGGGCGGGGCTGGACAGTTTGCGCCGAGTTTGTCCTAGCGCGCCGCCCACCAAAGGCTTCAAGCAGCAGAGGTCCAGATTTTCGAGAGGTCGCTTCCCGAGTTGTGCCCATCAGTGCCGTGAGTGGACTCTCACTGAGCCTCGGGCGCCCACCCCTCTGGACGCCCTCGGCTTTGTCAGAGCTGCTTAGAAGGGTGTCGCGGTCCTAGAGGAGGAGGCCCCTGTTTCTG